CATAACACACGCTCCTGTGGACTTTAACCCCACTGTAGTATACATTAGTGAATGAAACCCATTCAGTGGCATCCGTTTGGTTATTTTAAATACTGAAATATTTTTATGTCAAGGCTGTTTGGAATATATGCCCCTGAAATTGAATTTTATATCAACACTTCATGCCAGGTGAGCAAACTCGACACTCATCAGAAAAGTTCAACTCCTTTAAATACATACATAACTATTTCACCAATACCAGATATGTACTGAACGTGCTCCCGTGTGTTTATTAATTGCTGTCCCAAAAACTAATATAAAGACCCTTCCAACAAAAGATGTTTCTGGCTCGGTGATGTTTATTGATATTATGTATGCGTAAGACACAGAAAAGGCCTGTAACAGTTACACGCAAAACTGCTAATAACTGCAGACTATTAAAATTATTATCAATCATGGACTTAACTGCACAAAAAACATGTATGGAAACGATTAATCAGTATTTAATTGATATGTATATATGTTATACACTTTTAACAGACTCGACATTAGCTCCTGGCTGTGCTTTGCACATACGGAAGCTAAAACGGTGTTATACATTAACTTGAATACGTGCCAAGGGATTTCCCCCAAGATTACGTTTTATCAGCCGTCTTAACTAATAAGTGAGCATTGTTATTGGACTTTAAACAGACACAATTTTACAACGCGCCGTGTCGGATGCGAGTCAAGTTTGAGAATATAAAACACAATTAAATACAATGAATGTTTGTTTTAATGAATTTTGTAACGTAATAATTAAAGGCAAACATACGAGGAGTCTATTATTTATTCAGAATGGTGATCTGTGTACTTAAGGTTAAGTCAATAGTCTCTTTGTGGTCGATCGCTATGTCAACTGAGCTAAGCGAGTTGTACGCGAATAATAAAAGCATGTATCAGGTTACAACGTCGCGTATTTTAAACAATGAAAATGTATTTCTGTACAATCCACAGCATTTTTCGGCAAAAAAGGCTAAAAACGACTGCAAAACAGAAATTCTTGCCAATTATAAAACCCATTGCTACAATACGATGGAATACATCAGTTGTTACTGCTACAGGTAATACAAAAGCGGAAACTTACATACATTTGCCAAGGAATCTCCGCGGGATTGGTTAAATAAATGCATTTCGTTCGTATACACACGAAATATTTAAACCTTTACACGTCAACACAATACCACACATGCCTTCGCGCGTTTGGTCAAAAGTGTGTACCATACAATGCCGCTCTATGTTTCCGTTCTAACCAGGCAGATTACAAATTGGAGTATAATCAACTTACTTAGTAGATGTGAACACGAATTTAAAACAGAGTTTGTTATTGGCGTGGCTTGAAAACGTTTTATGAGAAACACACTTTTTGAAGGGTAATTTGAATTGTATATAATACCACACATGCCTTCGCGCGTTTGGTCAAAAGTGTGTACCATACAATGCCGCTCTATGTTTCCGTTCTAACCAGGCAGATTACAAATTGGAGTATAATCAACTTACTTAGTAGATGTGAACACGAATTTAAAACA